TAACATGTTTATAAATTACATCTAAACTTCCACCCTCGCAAAATTCCATAAAGATAGCAATTGAAGAATTATCATCTTCCATAAAAGCTCCATAATAAGTAACGATATTTGGTGAATGACATTTACTAATGAATCGGATTTCACGAAGAAGTTGTTTATGTATATTAGGATCAACGTTGATTTTCTAATGTTTATGAAATTATAAATTTTTTTTTTAGATTTTTCCAGGGAAAATCTGAGAATTATTATACAATCCAATGTAAGCTCCGAACTAAAAACTCTATTAACTCAAAAGTAATATCGCTGGATCAAAAAACTATACCTTTTTGGCCATTAAAACTTTTGTAACCTTATTATATACTTTGGTAACCGTACCTCCAGATCCTTCACCTATTTTTTCTAAATCTTGCAAATGCGCAGCGTTGAGTTTCGCAGAATCATCGTCAGATGGAAGTACATCATCTCTCAAGAATCCACCTGTGTCACTTTCAGAGGGTTGTGGTGTTATTCTTCCACTTTCACCAATTGCAATCTTAATTTCGTTAGTTAACATCTGACCATTTGAAGCCTGAGCTGGAACAACAAGTGGAGAAAGAGATGAAGGTGCTGAAGAAGAAGGAGTAAGAGCGGTGGACGGGATGTCAAGACGAGTTGGAACATTGTTACGATGAAGGCTAGGACTAGAGCCTACATTTCGTTTATTACTTTTTGGAACAGGACCCGTTGCCATTATTTATTATTTTTACTTTTTTGGTTAACTCGAAAGTTTTATCTTCAACGTTTTATCTTCGACGTTTAAAGTTATTTTTAAAAAATTCCGCTTTCTATCATCAAAAATTAACAAATAATTTAGATACAAAGTTTATCGGAGAAAGAAAAAGAAAAAAACCTTTTTTTTACAATATAACAGAAAATTTTTAATACTAACAATGATCAAAATGACAATTAAAACGCGCTTTCGTTACATTCAATTAATTACTAAGATAAACCAATCCCAAATTAGAAACGTGCACACTATTGATAATGATAACTTTTAACCAGTAATCATAAAGCATTTATTTCTTATCGGTATCTATCGATATATTTATTCAATCTATTACAATTACACTTTGATGTATAATAAAAATAATTGAATTAAACGACTATCTATCGCAACTGTTTTTGTATATATAACATGCATGAAATGAATAATTCATAATTAAACCTTTGTGTACAGTCAACTTGGGTAATTATGCATGGAAATTAGTAGTACAAAATAACAATAAGTTTAATAACAACGTA